CAATGGGGGTGGGAGGGAACATCTGTAATACTTTCAACAATAAAGATAAATTTTAGAAAAGTTATGTTCTGTAACAATGCAGACAACATGCTCTGGGGATCAGTAGGTGACTTCTAGTTGGGAAGATGGACAGAACCTGGGGAGGAAGTGGCGTTTAATTTTTGATTTTAACGGAGTCCATGCTGTTGGGGCCTCACCCAGCTCCCCCTTCCTAGGCCCAGCTGCTTAGGTGCTTGGCTCTGCCGGCCAACAGCTGCACCCTTCTCTGGGAAATTGCCTTCTGCCAATAAGAGTCCCTCTTCCTGAGATGCCTGGGAGGTCACACTCCCTCTCCATGGGTGGCTGTGCTCCTTCCTCATGGGTGGCTCGCCCCTACGGGTGGCTGATGAGCACCTTGCCTCAAGGTGGGGCCCTTCTGAGGTGCTATTCTCATCCTAGGGTTCTCCATGGCTCAGGCTGAGACTAGGTTTCAGCTGAAGTCACACTTTGCTTAGCTCTCCCCTTGCCTTTTCCCTCTTCCCTCCAGGTTTCTAGCCAAAGGACTTTTCTAACAAACCACTTATTCAAGCATCCCCATCTTGGGGGTTTTTCTAGGGATCCAGGCTTAAGGCAAAAAACAGCAATAGCAACAACAGTATTGCCACTAACAACTTAATATCAGGAATTTTGTATGTGCTCATTTGTTTAATTCTTATAAAACCCTATGCATAGTCAGAGATGTGAGAGGTGCTTTGGCCCTGTTCACACAGTTGCTAACTGGGAATCAAACCCAGAAAGTGTGTCTTTGGTTCCATCCTGGAAGGCCCTCCTCAGCCTTCCACCTCTGCACACCTCCAGTCCGAGAGCCAAGCTTAAAGAGCTCTGCTTGTTGGTGCAGGATGAGCGAAGCGTGGGGAGTTGGGAAGCCTGGTTTGAGACCTGGGCCTATGCCTCGTGGGAGCTGTGACGGCCCCTCCCTGGGCTCACATTTTCACTTGCGGAATGGGCTGGCATCTACTTTGCAGTGCCATCAGGAGCATTTTCTGAGAACGTGCATTCTGAAAGGTTAAGGTAGGTGGTGTGCGGGCAGGCTAAATAGCCATGTCAGACAGTGGATAAAGAAAAATTAAATTTATTAAAACAGGGTGGGGATATCCAAAGGGAAGAGCTACACAGCATTCAGCCAAAGGGTACCGGGTCCATGATGTCAGTAAAAGTGTACTTGGGACAGTGAAGCGAGGAAGGGCACAGAAGTAACAGGAGAGCCTGGCTGGGCTGCTCTGGCTCACTGGGAAGTTAGAGAGAGAAGGGGCCTTGGAGACAGGTTCAGGGGGTTAGCCTGGGACGAGCTGCCTCTGCCTATTGTTCCCCTGGTTGCAAGTCTCTTGGGGTCCCGTAGGAGGGAGGAAGGGGATGGAGATGGCACTGGCATGGTCCCCTGGTGGGGAGTACACACTGGGTCCTTTGTCCTGAGTGTATTTATCTCTTTCTTACAGGTGGGAATCTTAGGGGAGGTCCGGGTGGTGGTGGTGTCTTAATAGAATATTCACCAGCTTTCCAGGTGAGCTCTTTCAGGGTCCTGGTCTCCACTGATTGGTCTGTGCCAGCCCAGGGGGTCATTAGTCAGTGTATCTGGACCTGAGGCAGCCAGAGGGCCCCTTGTCTGGTTTCACTGCTTCTCTGGGCCTGGAGCTGAAATACAACTGAGGCCTGGATGTTGTCTTTAGGGAGGAATGCTCAGGGGGTCTAAACCGCATGGCCAGTGATATGCTGGGGGAGGAAAGGCTACCCTGGGGACAAGGTTCTTGTCTTCCCAGTTTTGCTCCTTGCTAGGCATTTGGAGCTTCCTGCCCTGGTGAGTTTCTGTATCTGGGTTTCTGTATCTGGCCCATCTAACACATTCTGAACCCCTGTGCTTGGCATCCAACAGTGGTCATTTCCTGTGCTCAGGAGGCAGCCCACACCCCAGCTTGCCTGGGGCCAATCTGATGGCAGGGCAGAGAGGCTGGCCCTAAGTGTGGGGTGTCAGGGGCACTGGTGAGCGGGGACATGAGCTCTGGTCCTAGGCAGGGGCAGCTTGGTGGTCCAGCTCCTTTTGTTCTCTCTGCTGTGAGAAAACCAAGGGCTGGAGCTGGGACTCATCTTGATGCTACAGAATCCTCACCATGCAGCTTCTTCTCCAGGGTCCAAGGTGGCTGGCTGCCTGGGAACCAACAGAAGAGGCAGAGAGATGAGCCTCTTCTGTCCATAAGGACTTTTCCTGGAAGATATGCCATTTTCACTCACATCCCTGTGGGCAAAACTTAGTTTATATTTGCACCTTTTTGCCTGAGAAGCTGGAAAACTGGGGTTTTATTATTGGAGGAAGGAAGTAAGTTGCCATCCCTGCCTCAGTGGACAGTCTGGGGCATAGATGCTGGTCACAGTCAGGAAGTCTTCATGAGTACTTACTATGTGCCAGCCCCATGTATGAATTCCTTTCCTTAATTTTTACAACTGCCCTGAGAGATAGACACTATTAGCATCATGACCATTGGGCAAGTGAGGTAGCTGAAGGGCAGAGCTCAGATTTGATCCCAGGCTGGCGAACTCCAGGGGCCACACTGCAGGGTCCAGAATGGAGAGACAAAGTTTAAATGCATGGATGTGCTATTTACTAACCACATGGCCTTGCACAAGCTACTTACCTTTACAATGCCTCAGTGTTCCCATCTGTAAAATAGGGCTGACACACGTACTAGCCTGAGTGGTCTTGAGATCAAATGAAATAACAACATGGGGTAGCTCTTTGTCAACAGAAAGTCCTAGAAATAAGACTGATTTCTTTTATGACCTGGGGTCTCTGGTTCCAATGGGAGTGGTAACAGAAGAGCTGGCATGACCTGACCATCAACTTCCAAAACCTGAGGTCGTCTGCAAAAACACTATTTTTAGGGTGATCCTCAGGGTGCAGCCCACACCCCACATTATTTTAGTCTCCTATCCTGGTGGGTATAACCATGCCCAGTGGATCACTTTGCCTTTCTGTCCTGCTCAGCGTAAGAGAAACAGAAAGAAAAAACGATAAACATTTGCTACGTGAAAAGATCAGGTCTGCCACTTGGAAGATGCAGTTGACTTGGGCAGGTTTTCTCAAGAATCTTATTGCCATTGGCCACTTCTCTTAATGCCAAAGGCCAAAAGCCTTTGTTACTCTTTGCTCATAATAGATACGAGACTCAAGCTAGTCCTAGACGGAGGTGGGTGTTGGCGCACTTACTAGCCTCCCTGAGCCCAGGGCCCTGGGCCCTTCTACAGTGGGGGCTTACGGACTAATTACAGTGCATAAGTGAGTGGCTTTCGGCTTGTGTGCCCAAAAAGTTCCCCTCCAGCTGCTGCTGAAGGAGTTCTGTGAGCTGCCGCCTCCGCAAACTGGGTCAGCGGGTCAATCGGGCTTTTTATATGCCGGCCAGGCTGCCTGCATTTACACGTAGGGTCAGATCTGGGGCAGAAAAAGATTCGAGCAAAAGAAACCTATTTAGAACCTTTTAGTGCTGACGCTGACTGTTCATTATTTATAGTTCACAATTGTGTTTTATACGGTAACCTTATTTGGGCATATAAGTAAGCAAAGGATAACAGAGGAAAAGAAAACGACATTGATTCCCCCCCCCCCCAAATGAAAGGTAGATGAAGCGATTTTATATTTGAGGTCTCCTGGATGGCATATTACCCAGACAGCAAGAATTAGAATAGATTTAATCCTCTAAGCCACACTAATGTGGACATTAAAAGCACTGTTTATGAAATTTATCTTTTTGACGTTTTTAATATATTCTATTGCAGCCTTGCAGTGTAAGTCCTGGAGGGTGATAATCGTTAGCATTTATGAAATGCTTCTTGTCATTGTGCCAGGCTCTGTGCTGAGTGACACACAGTCTCATTCAGTCCTCAGCACAGGAATGAGAAAAGGCACGTATTTCAACTTCCATTTTAGAGACGAGACACTTGAGGCCCGGGGAGGCTCACCATTTGCTGAAGCGCCTTTGCTAATAAGCAGGAGTTTGGGGACTGACCTGCGCTGTCCTCTTGCATTCACGCCCTGGGTCATCACACTGTACTGACTGATGGGCATGGCTGCAGCTGTGTGACCCAAGTCACTTCCTGTTCCAGAAGTGACAGGTGAGAGACGTGAAAGAAACTAATTTTGGGTGGTATCCATAGCGTGCCAAGCACAGGGCCAGGCTCTTAGTATACAGGATCTCACTGTGTGTCCTGAGCACATGTTCATA